GTAGTTACCTTTTATAGTCCTATTTTCACAGGAATATATAGTGATAGTCGATCGAACTCGACAATAATTCCTGGAGGATATATATAATGAGCATCATGCAGTCTATCCAGCCTAACAAGCGCAGCACTTACACTAGTTTTAATACACGCCAATCGCCTACTGGGGACATCGTACTCACGAAAGTAGTATACCCCTGATTACCTTATCTTCGAAAAGAAAAAAAGTCTAGTCGCTTTATAGCGTTTGAGATGTTGCAAAACAAGTCAATTTGCGTGAAGAAATTGCACCTTTCGTGGACGTTTCATAACAGTCATAACAGAAACAGAGGGGTCTCAAGCAGTCAGGGCCTATGTGTTCTCTCGGTGTTTCTATTATAAAGTTTCTACGCCAGTTCTATGAATGTTTCATGTTACCCGAAAGAAGTTTTTACAAGTGAGCTCACAGCGATTATCTAAAGACATGGACCGTCCATGCCTCTCCCCAATGCAAATATGCTGAAGTTCCAAGGTTTTGATACGTCCAGCTATAACGCTGTAGTACTGAAATTATCAACTATCATTGTATGGCATTTGTTTTTCAATTTTCAAAAGGGGCAATCTAGTTCAATAACTCGAGCGCAAACAGTGAAACACAATTCATCAAATTCTATCTTCACTCTTTAAGAGTCCATTACAAAACAATTTATACATTGGATGGTACACTATTCATGCATATAGAGCACGTCTCAAGTTGACAAGAATACTATTTTTACCCACATCGGTTTCTCTCGTATCCTTCATTTTTAGCAAAGTGAATGTTATTATATGATGACTCTAATTTCAACAGAATTTGACATTCAAGGTTTTATAGTTTCAGCCTCGGAAAAAAAAAATTCGCCTATGATATTTTGTGCCAAAAATTATCTTGTTTTATTGCGTCGTTAAACTTAATTATTATACATTGTAGTCACCATCTGTCTTCTCAATGGCTAAAAGCCTACAGTTAATTCTGGGAAACAGGAATAATCTGTAGGTTGCGCGCGCAATGCATGATTTCCAAGGGCACTTGATTGTTTTATAAAGACGGTGGAAATTTGTTTATCACTCAGTTGTACATTTGTAAGTGTTTGAAAATAAACTGTGATCGCCGCGATAATGCGTTTGTCGTTATTTCCTTCAAAACAATGTATAATAAAACAATTATTAGATTCGGTTTTTGTGATATCCGGAATAATCAAGGTCTCGGTTAGTGTTATCAGCCTCAGCCTTCGGCTTTGGCTGATAACACTTACCTCGACCTTGATTATTCCGGATATCACAAAAACCTCATCCAATAATTGTTTATAATAATAATCATGCACCAAATACAGTATCATGAACCTTTGTTTCAGCAAATTCGTCAAATATTTTCTTCGCAAAATCCTTACAGTTATCATCCAGGAAGTGATACTTTATGTTTAGCTCATGTATGTTATAAAGAAAATCTATCAAGTCCTTCATTGATTTCCCTCCTTTATCATAGCTAAGCTGACACATCGGGGTCCTTCTGTCCTTCATAAAATGTTGCCGGTGTTTTATAGTATCCACAAAATCTCGCACATCCTCTAGTTGTTTGCTTCTTTGAATTAGAATTCTCGCGTCGTCTTTCTCCATGGACAACCACCATTTTGTAGTTTCCAACACGACAAATTGATGGGTGAACAACAGTTGAGTAATTTGCTACCACAACGCCCTGATTTGAACCCAGATTTGCAGAATCTTTTCAGTTTCATCAATCAGCTCACTCATTTCTGGTTTATTAAAGTGTATTTATAATGATCATCAATAGCATAGTATTTGCGATCGCTTGGATAAACCAAATTTACTTGACGTTTCCAAGTTTGCCCAGTTTTCATTCCCTTTTTACTACTTGCACTGCTAAATGGGTAATGGCATTGCAACTACCTCACTATAGGGAAAAATGTGTAAAATAAATTGACTGACTGTAGAGAGAATAAATGCTCACAAACTGTTCCGTCATTTGAGGGCAAATTCAATTAAAAAACAAAAGAAATAAGAAAAAAATCCATTCGCGCTCTCTTGTTCAAGCGATTGAATTCCGTTGGGACGAGTCCTCTTGAAGGCCGGGAACTGGCTAAATTCACTTTAACAACAGGGTCTCTTTGAGCATTTAAAACGTACGCTACAGTGTACGCTAACAGATCGGTTTCCCACTGATGAAAGTCATGCATGACTGATGAACTAACCTATTGGCATGCTACTCAAAAACGGTTAAGCGACAGTTCGATATTTGCAAATTAAAACGACAATTTTCTGCCCCTTTTGGTTAAGAAATAGTACGTATAGCCAATAGCCAAAATTTCAGTTATAAAGTTTCAAGTGCTACATATTATGCGAAATGCTT